ATATTCTGCCATTTTGTAACCCTGAAAGACTTAACTAACCCCAAGCTCCACTCCAATTAACTCTTTAAGAATTAAAGTGCCATGTCATGTGCCTGTAATCTCTTTTTCTCCTCCTCCTCCTTCTTCCTCTTCCTCCTCCCCTCCTTTTTGAGACAGGGTTTCTCTGTTTTAGAACTTGCTCTGTAGATGAGGTTGGCCTTGAACTCACAGAGATCCTCCTGCCTCTGCCTCCCAAGTGCTGGGATTCAGGTTGTGCACTGCCATTCCCAGCTGCTTTATGTTTTTTCATTTGAATTTCACAACTACAGTTGGTTTGAAAGCTCATCTCATTGTGCACCCAAGTGCATTTTTTTACATATACATAACATATTAAGAGACTTTTAAGCCAGGCATGGTGACATAAGCGTGAGTTTGAGACCAGCCTGGGCTGTATGAGATCCCAGTTCAAAAGAGCCAAATAGTAATACTAACCACATAAGTCAATAGCTTATGTTTACAGGACAGAAGAAAGGAACAATTAGATGCATTAAGGTAACAGTGTACAAAATGGCAGACATTTGTTTTAGGCGAGGATGTAGACATAGCTACTCTGGATGGCTGAAGCAGGAGTACCCAAGCCCACTTTAGGTAACATAGCATGTTTGTTTGTTGTTTTTTTAAAGCAGACTCTACTTTAGACTCAAATAATGGTTCAAGTTGCTCCTAAAATCATGTTCATAAGCAATTTGAAATTACAAGGATGTGATCTAAACCTGAAAGGGCCTTCCTGCCGACCTCTGGGGATGGGTTAGTATTGTAGCGAGGTTTGCAGAGTCTTGTTAGGCGTCCTGTGTGTTGTTCAGTCCTTTCCTAACACCACTTGGGCTGGCGTTGCCCTTTGGGAGTTGCACAGCACTTAGCGTGCATTGTCCCCTGGAGAGATCACAACAGCAAGCAGAGACGCAAATTCACTCTTGGGACAGAATAGGAATTAATTGAAGAAGAAAGAGTCTATCATTTAAGGCGTAGTTAGCCTGGGGAGGAAGCTGGAGCTTTCACGTTTGCTGGTTTCTGCGCCAGTCATCACAGCGCTGCTGTCTGCTCAGCAGCCGTGGCGCCCGTGTCTGTGTCTTCATGCGCTTATGTATTATGATATAAGCTCTGAACTACCCCTGCGTTATCTGCTGCTTGCTTCAGACCCTTCGTCTGCCGTCGTCTAAATTCAGGGTTGAGATTTTGAAAGAAATACTCCACAGCAGATGAATTGTGCTTTTGCTGCAGAGATCCTGCCACATGGATTACAAGCTCTGTTTCTCCATGCTTGAATAAACTCCATCAAAAGCACATTATCCTCCACGGCTGTGGCCAGCTGCCTAATTGTATCTGCTGTAACCACGCACTGGTGGAACATGATACCAAAGAGGAACAGAAATGATGAATTACCCCCTGCAGGTGATAGTGATCATGATGATTTTTAATTTCCTTCTTTCCCGTACAGTCTAGAGTCTAGACTGATTTCATTTCATTGGCTGCTGTCTCCTTCCATGCACACACAAAGGCGTTCCCTTTGTAAAAAGGACCCACCACACTGACACACATGAAAAAGTCATTTGTTTAATTCTAACTCACTATTCCTCAAATGCAGGAATGTAAAACAAACTGCATACTTTCATGCATACAAAGTAAACAAGCAAAAATGTGACTTAAAAGAGACTTTTCAAATGATTCTGTTTATAGCTACTTGTGTTATTTTCTTCCTCTGTGACACCCCCAAGGACGTGAGCAGTTCCTGCTGGAACAGTGTTCTCCACAATAAAGCCACAGGCTGATTTACTGCCCTGTGTGCCTCATGTCAGAATCAAAAGATTCTCAATAATGTCAAGAGTGGTCACCTGCCCGCCAATCTCTCCTCTCCTGTTTGTCCTCTGTCATTATTATCCATCTCACTTCTTACTGTGGTGTTGATGGCTGCCCATGCCCCCTCTCTTGGCCTCAGAGCCTTGTAGTTCAAGCGTCTCTGACCGAAATAGCTGTGTGTGGTGGTGGGGTGTGATTGTCACCCTGACTTTGTAGGTTAGCCAGCTGCTCGATTTTCATATCTTTTCTCCCAAGCAGTCCCTACTGCTGCTGACAAGATACTTTACGGGAAACTAACAGGAATGTACTCTGTGCCTGCTCTCCTTAAGCTCTGCTCCGGTCATTCACTGGTATTACCGAGATGTCATCGCTTCCAGTTAGTTCTCCGTGGTGGTAGTCAGTCCTTACGTTTGAGTGACTTCCAAGGGGAGAAATACAGTTCATTGAAATTAGCACTTGGAGCTAGGTGTGCTGGTTCACACGTTTAATTCCAGCACTCGGTCTTGGGCAGTTTGCTTTTTCCAGTGTCTTATGAGAGACACAAAAGAAGAGTGGATGGGACGGTCGGGAAGGTCCCACACCAGAGTTGCCCTGGTCACAAAGGCAGTGTGAGCCACTGTCCAAGCACACAGATGCACTCCCCAGTCCGAATGCTCCCTGGATCTCCTTCTGAAGGGTTTTTATGAGGATTCTATTGTGTGGGAATGGCTGGTTTGAGTACTTGACTAAGTACTTTCACCTTTCCCAGAAGATTGTACCTGACCATTGTCTTTCCTTTCTAAACAAGCCAGCCTTAAAAACATACACCAGCAAAAACAAAACAAAACACAGTAATACATCATTATGTTGTTATCAGTTTTCTTTATCTCTATTCATTTCTTTGGTGAATCATCAATGTACAGAGTACAATGATTTAGTCAGTTATCCTAACTACATATGGCTAGCTGGGTTTAAGAGATAAGGAACTAAAAATGTTTGAGAGCTATAGAAAATGATGCTGGATGAGAATTCTAGAGTTGAGCTATGCCTCGGTCTTGCTCTTCAGACAGACTGTAGTCTGATAGGGCAGAGTGTGGTCAGTGTGGTGAGTGGCCTTGCTCTTCAGACAGACTGTAGTCTGATAGGGCAGAGTGTGGTCAGTGTGGTGAGTGGCCTTGCTCTTCAGACACACTGTAGTCTGATAGGGCAGAGTGTGGTCAGTGTGGTGAGTGGTGTAGTCCAGTTGTGTCTACTCCGTGTCATCCAGAAAGTCTGTATTGCAGAGCTGTGGGCCAGGCCTCGGGAATACAGTGGCGAATAAGGCAAGCACGCAGAACTATACTTATGAAAGCAGCTGGCTTCATCTGTGAGGGTGCCGTAGGTATTTGAGACGAGGGGTTTGTTATGGAAGCTCCCTGGAACCTCAGGGATTTCTGGTGTCGTCTGTGTCTGAGAACCTCTGCTTTGTGAGTCTGTTTGGCAGAAGTATCCACGGTATTGCCATTCCCTCATGGTGTCTAAAATGTAATGAACTTCAAGGTTAAGTATTGGATTTGCCTGGGACTCACTGTGAATTAGGCTTCCAAGATCAATAAAATTCCACATTCTCTGCAGAAGCAGCAGAGCACACAAATTGGCCTGTTGGTGAATTTGCAATAGTCAATGTCTTGTTTTTAGCACTTTGTAAGCTTAATTTAATGCCAGTTTTGAAAACCGATTAAGTCCACCTAATCCATATTTAGAAAAGGTGGGGGGAATAGTGGCATTTAAGTTTTAAACAAATAAAGGTAGAATTGGACGGCAGAGATAGATGTGTTGGTGGTTAATGGCAGGAGCTGGTCTTCCCAGGACCCAGGTTCAGCTCCCAGCACCCGCATTCAGCAGCTCACAGCCCCCTGTAACTCTTTGCCCTCTTGTGGTTGCCACAGACATTAAGTACATGTATTGAAATGACTGAGAGAAGGCCACACTCCATTTTGTGTTTGCTTAGACAGTTCTCAGCCCTCTGCCTTCCACCCTCCAGGCTCCCATCTGCCTTGGCATCCATTGGAGGTTTCTATTGCCCTGACTATGGTCCAAATGCGTTAACCAAAACAATTGGCAAGTTATATTCAGAATAACTACTGTCCTCTGGCAGGAATGAACGTGTCAAGGTTACTCTGACCCTCGTTGAATTCTGATGTGTCTTTTTGGGGTTTGCCTTTAAAATGTTGTGTCCTTGAGTATGGGCACCAAGAAACTTCAGAGGCTCACGCCCACCTTGGTCTGGCCATCAATAAAAAAAGACTTAAAACTTTCAATTTTGGATTAATCAGCGTGTTTGTCAATTCTTATCTCACGTGAATCATTACCATATGGTGCCCATACCTATGTGCAGACACACATAAAATAAAAAAATAAATCTTTTTCAAATGTGAAATATATATTTATCTGAATGTGTTAATTTTTTTCTGGAGATTTTTCTTGTGTTATCTCAGTAACCCTTAGGCTTACTTACAATGATTTTCTTTATATGTATTTTTTTCAACTATATTTCATCAAAAACATGTGTTTATGATATTTCTGTAAACACACTTTTATTTGGGTACTGCGATTTATGCCCATTTATAATAAATAGTTAACATTTAAAAATTGTATGCACGGATCCCATTACAGAGCTATTGTGATTTGCTCTGAAGTTGGGTGAACTAGATGAAAACAAATTGAGTTGCAGAAGTTCTCCTGTACTGTAGCCGTGAACTCATAGATCCGTGCTTTTGTGAGTCTGGATGCACTTGGGCTCTTGAGGCCTTTCCTAGCCTGCCCTGGGCTGCAGATGTCTGAAGGCTGAGGAGAGCTGGGGTCACAGGGTGGCTACCCTTGCTGTATGCAAGCTGTTCACCTGAGTCTTCAGCCAGTGTAGCTGGGCCTCTGTCTCTGGCCCCTCACCTTGGGCAGCCTTGTTTGACTTTTTCTCTGATAAGCCGTTTGATTGTTTGATTAGCCTTGTTACCCTTATTATCACGCTGTTCTATGGGGGAAAGCCAATTATATTGTTTATTTACTTTTACAACATCTTTTCCTGGAAAAATAGTGATGAGTTAGGTTTGTGATACAGTTTCTAATTTGTCAAGTCTTAAAAGACTGAATAGTTAGTGATTACATCATGTAATTAGTTTAATAATCATATTTTTTTTAAATCACAGGCAGTCGCTGGGTACTTTGATATATATTTTGAGAAGAATTGCCACAACAGGGTAAGTATCATGAGTTATTCATAAGGATTAATTATGCAGAGTACTCTGTTTGATTTGTGCCCCAGGGTGTTTGATCAGAAACATTTTGCTGTTGTAAGCAGTTGCAGCTTGTATTTGATATAGTAGACTAATGTACCATGATATTAGAAATCGTGTACTTCATCAAATACTTCTGAACTTTACCAATGCAGGTCGTGTTCTCTACGGGCCCTCAGAGCACCAAAACACACTGGAAACAGACAGTGTTTCTTCTGGAAAAGCCGTTTCCAGTTAAAGAAGGTGAGAAGCATTACCTTCATGGTGGGGGGGGGGGTGGTTACTCACGTGTCATTAGGAGACCATAACAGATGCTGAGATTGGGAGTTTTAGAGCTGCCTGCCTATGTGTGTTTAAAGTATGTTAATGTTTGATTCCAGGTGTATGTTAGGGAATCGAGAGATGACTCAGCTGGGAATAGTACCTGCTGCTCTTCCAGTGATCCCAACTTCATATTCTAGCACCCATACCTGGTGGCTCACAGCCGCCTTAGCTCCAACACCAGGGGACCCCATGTTCTTTTCTGACCTCCGTAGACGCCCACACATACAAAGTATACTAACACACATGTGCATAGGCACACAACACATAAAATAAATAAGTTAACTTAGGAAAATCTGTGTTTTAAGAAAGGTTTTCAGTTTTGTCTTAGGTTTGTAGCTTGTTTGGTCTTTTGCTCTGTTTTTGGGAGCTAGGGATTAAACCTGTAGTTTCACACACGCTAGGCAAGCATTCAACCATTGAGTGACATGGTCAAACCCTTAAGTATAACTTGTATCTTCTAAAATAAATAGAGATTATTATGTACCTCAAAACTAATACAAGGTAATTTAGAAAAACTTCAAGTGTTATTTTATGTATGTGATACTTTGTCTGCCCGTGTGTGTTTGCATGCATATGTCTGTGGAGATAAGAAGAGGCCTTTGGAGCCCTTGGAACTGGAGTTAAGATGGTTGTGAGCCAACATATGGTACTTGGACCCAGGTCCTCTGCAAGAACAGCAAGTGCCCTTAGCTGCTGAGCCATTTCTCTAGCCTCCAGAAAGTGTTTCTTTAGTCAGTAACTAGTAAGTGACAACATGCATATATGACTAAGAGAAAATGTTTTATTTCCTAAGTGATTAAACCACTATCAGCAATAGAATGTATGAGACTCACTCAGTAGTTACTCTACTCGGGAAATTTGAATAGGAGAGTTCCAGTAGAGGAAAGGAAATGATTATGTAGAAGCTGTTGACTATCATTCCTAAGTGTTGTGGCTTCACCTTTTCTACATATATGCATGTAAACAGTCACACTTGTAAAACTGCATGTAAATGGGGTGTTGGAAGAGTCTTTTGCAGCCTCTCATTTTGTTTTGGAGTGACATTTACACACAGCATTACTATCGGACACATGTGTTCCTGTTTTTAAGACAAGGTCTCCCTCTAGAGCCCAGGCTGGCCTTAGACTCCGAGCAATCCTCCTGTCCCAGCTCTCTGCATGCTGACTGCTCTACCTCTTCTTTCTTGGAGCTGCCATGTTTACTTACTCATCTTTGCTCTGCCATGACTCAGCTTGTGCTCACGTTTCTCATGTCTTCAAACCACGTGGTGAGAGACTGATGAAAATACCCGGGAAGGTGTGTGGAAGGGACACGGAGACTAGTGTCCAGCAGCAGGAGCACGCGTTCTGTGGTGATGGATGGGAATGGCTCTGGACAGTTGCTCAGACTTAGTGGGCTACAAAGGGGTTCAATGTCAGAGATACTTAGTGCTGCTTCTAAAATTGAGGAATCTATGTTCCCGTGTTAGGATCTGATGAAGCCGAACGAGAACGGCCTGATACCATTATGCTAAGCTCTGTATCCTATTTCCCAACACTCTGAGATGGCTCTGATTTCACTGTTGCTCATAGATTGAATGTGCAGATGAGGCCATTAGAGGGAAGCCGCATCTTGCCAGCCCCTCTCACTTCAGATTTCAGAGCTGGCTGTGGAAATGAGACCTTGATAGTGTCATTTTCTCTGAAGCATAGCACAACTGAGCCGAGACTCACACAGACCAGGGCGTTGATGCAGCTTTGCTTTCATTTTCGCCGCTTATGCTGACCTAGCATGAAAACTTGAAGGTCTTCCTTACAGCCAGCTTGCCATCTTAACACTAGAACTTGAAAAGCAGGCCTGCCCACCTCATGTGCTTCAGACTTGAGGGAGATGAAAGATAGCCTTTAAGCTTGCTCCTCCAGATTCTCTCTTCTGATTACAAAGAAATGCTTGATAACTGGTAGGAATTTGAAATTCTACCTGTTCTTCTAGTAACCTTTAAGATGACTGGTGCATGCTTCGCCTCTGGGCTTTTCCTAGTGTTGCAACCAGCTTAGCACCTTTTAAAGAATAGAGACTACAAGTCTGTTGTAGGGCAGCGGTCTAAGGAGGACAAGCAGACCAGATAAGACCTCTGACTCTCATAGAAGGCTGGTGATAGGACACATAGGACAGGTATACAAGAGCATACAGACAAACCCAGGCACTACAGTGCATGACTCCAGTGGCTTCCATAACCAAAGCGCTGCTTTTATGACCTGTATTCATTCAGTAGCGACTCAAGAAAGACCAGTCCTTTGTGGTGAGAATGTGTTATCCTGGTTACCTGCACGCACCAGCAAAGCGTTGAGATGAACCTCAAAGGGAACTAAATTACAAGAAGCACAGTGACTACAAGGGAAATGATGAAACCTGACACTCCCCATGAAGTCCTTAATAGCTAGCATTTGGTCAGACACCAGATGCAGGAAAAGTAGGAGCTCATAAAGACCCAGAAATGACAGAATTAGCAGAAAAGACATTGAAATACGTCTATTCTCTACATGGAGTTAATGGATGAGAAGACACTACACATGAATGTCACTGTAGGTGGACAGAGGTGTCTTAGTGGAAGGCTGTGGGGTTAGTAGCAGGACAGGTCATTAAACTTGACGGTCAGTGAGAGTGCTTTAAAAATGAGCTTCGTGTTGGCAAATGCCTAAGGTAGAAGTGTGGGTGGTTAGGGTCATCCCTTGCTTTGTAGTGAGTTCAAAGCCACTCTGAGCTACACGAGACCCCCCTTGAAGAAAGTCTCTCTCAGATAGATAAATAGATAACTTATTGATAGATAGATGATTGAGTGATAGAGATGATAGATTGATAGATATCAAAATGAGGGAGAGATTTAACAAACATCTTTGAGTTTCTCACTATGAAGGGAAATTCTAAGTGTCCTGTCTTCAGGGTAATAACAGGAGTCCCTGAGGGAAGCAGGAAGAAGAAGCATAGGACAGAAAATAGTTATGACATAATAGCCAAATTTTCTTCTTCTACTTTTTTTGTTTTGTTTTGTTTTTCAAGACAGTTTCTCTGTGGCTTTGGAGGCTATCCTGAAACTAGCTCTTGTAGACCAGGCTGACCTTGAACTCACAGAGATCCCCCTGCTTCTGCCTCCTGAGTGCTAGAATTAAAGGCGGGTGCCACCACCACTGCCCAGCAGGAGTAGGTAGACTTCTTGAGTTCAAAGCTAGCCTGCTCTACATAGAATTCCAGACCAGTCAGGACTATACAGTGAGACCCTGTCTCCAATTTTAAAAGGAAAAAGAAAAGGAAATAACAAAGGGGGAAAAAAGGAAAGATGTGGATAAAGAATTTCTCAAACTAAGAACATGTCTAAAATAAGAATTCAGCCAGGATCCATTTGGCTAGGAGCAAAACTCACTGTTTTTGTTTATTTTATTTACAAGCTAGTTCTAAAAATAATTGCAAAGGAACGGCCCACTTCAGAATTTGGGGTGCTCCAGCTTGATTGTGGGGGTGGGGGGACTGCCTCCAGGATAGAAGGTTTAGTTGCAGAAGACTTCCTTTTAATGTGTGGTGTTTCTTTGCATCTGAAAATAACGCACTTTTTTTAAACATGGCTTATACAACAATTTTGTGTTAAAATCCTGATCTGTTTCTGTTTAAATTTGAAAATATGATTGTGTTCAGGATGTTTCTTTACACAGTGAGCGTGCTCAGGGTGCTTACACGAACTCGCTCAAACTTTTTCTCCATATAGTAAGAGCTTGCTGTACACACGCTCCTGGCAGCACTGGTTATTTATTCTGCCTGACACTGACTAATTACTCTTGTCTAGCCCACTGTGACAGCCACTGCCTTGGCACTTTAGTTAGGTATGGACAGTCGAAGGGGTCTCAGCAGTATGAATTATGTTTACTACTGTGACCCTTCACACCATTTAATTAACTTCAGTAAGTGTGTATTGCACCCTAATCTTTGAAATGACGGCTGCAGAAGAGAGATCTTTTGTTTTATCTTCAAACATGAGAACAGCAGCAATGTCTGCTTCATATTTAAGGCAGTTCATGTTTAATGCTCCTACCAGTGTTGTGAGTTCTTGCCGCTGTTTGTTTCAAGTAAGTCAGTTATTTTAGCAATTCTATTGGGTGTGTAATTTTATCTCTACTTTCTTTGTTGTCTTTGAGACAGCCTCCCTCTATGGTCCAGGATCTCCTGCTTCAGCTTCCTGAGTGCTGGGATTATGGCTGGGTCACTGCCCAGCTTTATGTTTGTATTTGCATTTGTCTGATTACTAACGTCATCTGTTACTGGAATTTTATGAGGATTTGAATTTTTGAGACAGTCTCTCTGTGTATTTGAATGTGCTATCCTCCTGGCCTAGTCTCTGCCCCTTAAGTTCTGGACAATAGTCAAGTGCTACCAAATCTTGCCCTTTTGCTCAATTTTTAGGTGGGTTATTTGTTGTCCTTTAGTTGTAAGAATTGTTTGTATAAATGAAAACAAGTTCTTTATTAAATAGGTACATTGATTATATGTTCATCATATAATGCTATGTCTTTCCAAAGAATAGACAATTTATATGAGTTTTAGTATGTCAGTCGTTGATGGCATGTGCCTTTTGTGCTGATCCTAAAACTTCAGCTGATTCCAGCAAGGATGCTGTGTTTCTTCTGGAACGTTCAGACTTGCTCTCCATATAAGGTCTGTAATCTATCTCGTGTTCATTTTAAGAGTTAGTGATTCATCTTTTCAGTTGTTCCATCATCTCTTGACAGGAGTGTCCTTTTCCCATTTAATTACCTTGGCTCCTTTGTCAAAAATTAATGGGCCATATGCATATGGGCCTCTTTCTGAGCGCACACTTTGTTCTGTTGATCTAAGTGTCTGTCTTTAGGCCAGGAGGATACCATCTTTATAAACGTTGAGTCCTCTTACTTGATCAAACTATTTAGGCTCTTTCAGATTCCATCTATGTATAAGTTTTAAAGGCATCTGAATTTCTGCACTTAAGCCCCACTGGGTGCTGATGAGGTGTGTGGAGTCCACGGATCGGTGAGGAGAATGTGGTCCACACAGCGCTGAGTCCATCCCTTGTGCACGTCTCCTCATTCATTCTGATCTGTAGCGTGTCTCATGGTTTTAGGCAGATACATGGCATAACTCCACTTTTCTCTCTATTATGTATCATAACAAGTCTATTTAATTCATGAAATGGTATTTCCTTCCCAGTTTCAGAATCAGTAAATCATAAATCGAGACTGTTTGTTGGTATAAAATGAAAATTTAAAATTAAAAAGGAGTTGGTAAAGCGCTTGCCCTTTGAGCATGAAGACCAGAGTTTTTTGTTGTTTTGGGTTTTTTTTATTTAAATTAAAAGCAATCTTATTTTACATACCAATCCCAGTTCCCTCTCCCTCCCATCCTCTCATGCCCTCCACTAACTCCCCATCCACTCCACAGGGAGGGTGAGACCTCCTAAGGGGGATCATCAGAATGTATCACATCATTTGGGGCAGAGCCTAGGCTGAGAGAGTATCCCTCCATAGGGAGTGGGCTCCCAAAGGCCATTGGTATACGTATAGTAGGGATAAATACTGGTTCCACTGCCAGAGGCCCCAGGCCTCCCAACTGACACCCATGTTCAGGGGGCCGAGTTCAAGACCAAAGTTCTTAAATGTGATGTATGTTCAGTTTTCAGACAGTTACACATGCATGCTCGTGCGCACACACACACACACACACACACACACACACACACACACACACACACACACACACACACACCTGTCATCATTCTTCCCTACATCTGTGTCCATCCACACTGGGAAAGTGTGCCTAGGACTGTGGTGTGATCTTAATAATGCTGATGATACCGCTGTCAGCCTTGCTTTGTTAAGCAACTCTGCAGAGAGGTGGGGAAAGTTAAGTGAGGTTTGGTGCTAGAAAGGCACTCAGACATCCCTCTCTGTCTTCAGGAAAGCCTGGCTCTGCCCTGTAGCAGGTGTGGTTTGGTGGGACTGGTCTGTGTTCACTGTTGGACCTATGTAGGTTCTTGTTTACAGTGGCAGAACACTGAAGGCCAATAGCCTTGTCTTGTGCCTCTGACCACAGAAAAGGAGAACCACTGGATATTATGTTCATACTAGTCTGTTCTCACTGGATGCTTTGCCTTTCATTGTAGGTGAAGCCTTGAAAGGAAAGATCACAGTTCACAAGAATAAGAAGGATCCTCGTTCCCTCATCGTGACCCTGACCTTGAACAGCTCAACTCAGACTTACGGTCTCCAGTGACCATCATGGTCTCCAGCAGCCACAGAGCACATATAACTCTCCGTCTTTAAAGTGGGGTCAGGTGTCAGTGGGAGGGGCAGGCTCCACAGGGCTGCAGTTCCTGGGCAGGAAGGGTAAATAAAGTGGGGAGCTCAGTGGAAGATTGTGTCCTTCTGCTGTGTGGATCCTAGTCTCAGATCTTGGCAGATTAGCTGAAGGGAGTCCTTCTGCTGTATGAGAGTCATTTAAATTGGCTGACTTTGGAATGGTAGTAACTCTGGATGGATATATATATATATATATTTCTTCCTATAAATTTTGTTCTTAGTAGCGAGCAGCACAAAGCAGTGTTTTGTTGTAGACTTCCTTTCTGGAGGGACAGTTTTTAGTTATACTCTTTGCTGTAAACATGGTATCTAAAGACTAGGGAGCCAGTGCGCAGGACAGAGCAGGAGCTCCTGCACATCCTGTCTGCAGAGGCTGAGTGGTCCTCTCTAGCCACCGATAGCACTGCTGGGAGCCTAACCCAGTATTTACCCTAGGAGTGATAGACTCCTCTTAAGGCTGAGATAGATGTGCGCCTCTCTAAAATGCTGCCTTTCAGACCAGGTTTGTGTGCCAAGGTCACACATGCATCTGCTAATAGAAAATCATGTTATTCCGGTTGAAAGAATGAAAATAATAAAATGTATAACTGTTGAAAAAGTGAGAGCTTCCTCATCACACTGATTCCTGTTGTGAGGTCGTAAGCATTTATCAAGTCAAGGAAGGAGTCAGTTTCAAGAAAATAGTGACTTCCGCAGGCAAGCCAGGCATATTCTTTGTCCAAACTAGACATCAGCAGGAGCTCAGACTAGCTCTAAAGTAGGTGGTTCCGTGCAGCTGCAAATCTCTGTGAGATCTTAGTGTCTTTACTTAGCCCGACTCCTTTCTCGAGATGCCGGTTATGTGAGTACATTTCAGGTGCTCAGGTCAGGGCCTCAGTAAGTGGCGGTGACAGTATTGTCATTATTCATTGAAGGAGCTCTTCCCAGGAACATGGACTGAATGACCTTCCTCAGCAGGCTGACTCCTACAACGGAAAAGACCTGGACTGTCAGCGGAGGAGAGATAACCTGTCAGATTTTGTGTTGTATTTTGTCTCCCAGTGTTGGAATTTAACCCAGGACCTCACCCATAATAGGGGAACACTGAGCTATGCCCCAGCCTTCTTTTCCTTGTTTTTTACTTTCCTTTCAGTGAATAAATATTTTCTACTATTTAAAAAGTATTTCCTAGAAATTATCCCTTTTACCAAGTACGGTTGTGCATACCTTTAATCCCAGCACTCAGGAGACAGAGGCAGGCAGATCTTTAGTATGAGTTTGAGGCCAGCCTGTTTACATGGGGAGACTGGCTTCAAGCTCGGGGTTTTGTGGCAAAGGATAGGGAAGTGGAGGGATTTCATTAGGGGCAGAATGGGGTGGGGTGGGAGGTACTGTTTTCCTTAGACACACTTGTTTTGAAACTGGGGGCTTTGAGTTCAGTTTAGGCTCTAGGCTTTTGGGGTGTGTTAAGGGGAGTGTTCCTTAGGGGAAGGTTGTTTGAGTCTCATGTAGCCCAAGCCAACTTTCAACTTGCTTTATTGTAGCCAAGGATGATCCTTACATTCACCTGCTAATTAGTCTGTTTATTTTCTGATCATCCTTTGGGATTAACCTATGTGTCCCACTTGTACCTGCCCCCTAGGGTGGAAGAACCAGGGTCACATGTGAAGTTTTATATGTAAGATCAGTCTTGGGCTCTGTGGCCCCTCTTTCTGCCAGGAATGTTACCCTACTGCTAACAGCTTTTAACCAGAGAAATAGCAAGACACGTCAGCCATCCAGCGCTATCATGGAGACCAAGCCTAAGTCATTTGTAAAGATTGCCTGGCTCGCAGAGCTACAGGTTTCGTCTATACTTGCTCTCTTCTCATAGGGAGACCAGTTTGTGATGAGAAGCAAGGTCAAGGATTGTCTCGAGCACACTGAGTGTAGCCATTTTGATTCAGTGCCCTTAGGATACCCCTTCTTTATTTGAATTCCCTGCGGCTGCTCTGCACCCCTACGTCAGTTTGGTGACCGTGATGTGGCTCACACGGCTAATGGTACTTCCCTGCCCCCATCTCCAGTAGGCTCCTCAGGCTCTTGTTTGTTGGGGGCTCTCCATTTTTGTGAGAGCAGGCTAACTCAATGACAGTGTTTAGAGACCGGGTTTCCACAGTTGAGACTGAGGTAAAATCTGGGTGAAGTAATTTGAGGTAAGGTTTGTCTGTGTAGAAAAGCTACTTGGGAAAGGAATAAATGTCTTTTTAGTGGCAGCCACGAGAGAACAGTTCCCTCTAAGGACTCATGACTGATCACTGCAGAGGAGGCAGGCACAGCAGGATGGAGGTTACCAGGACTTTGCTTTGTAAAATCTAAAACATGGAGTGAGTCTGTGCGGATGGAAGGTAATGTTTACATTTGTCTACTTTAGCCCGGTCTAAACAGTTACAGTTACTTCTCTGTTTAAAAATGTAGGAAACTGCAACTTTGTAGCTCATTGTCCCTTTAGTTTAGAAAGCTCCAAGAGGATCGGCAGACACCCTGGTAGGCAGGAGCCAAGCTTAGTTGCACACTGGTGACCCCAGTGCTCAGAAACGAGGCAGGAGGATTGCAAGTTTAGGGCCAGCCTGGCCTATATTAATGATACAGCATGACATACTCCCCAAGGCTGGTATTGGACTTTGGTCCCAGCTGGTAGTGCTGTTTTACAAAGTTGTAGAAGCTTGAGGTGGGACAGGATCTGGAAGTAGGTCTCTGCAGAGATTTCTTCTTTTCTTTCTCTCTTTCTTTCTTTCTTTCTTTCTTTCTTTCTTTCTTTCTTTCTTTCTTTCTTTCTTTATGGAAGTAGGTCTCTGCAGAGATTTTTTCTTTCTTTCTGGAAGTAGGTCTCTGCAGAGATTTTTTTCTTTTCTTTTTTTTTTTTTTGTTTTGTTTTTTTTTTTTGTTTTTGTTTTTTTTCGAGAGAGAGAGAGGGTTTCTCTGTAGCTTTGACGCCTGTCATGGAATTCGCTCTGTAGACCAGGCTGGGACTAAAGACATTTGCCACCACCTCCAGGTCCCTTGCAGAGATCTTATCCAGGGCTCCTTCCTTGGGGGCAGGTCCTTGCAGAGACTGCCTGTAAGCACACGGGGCCAAGTGACTATATTCTGATCCTTTGAAACTTCGAACAACAACAACAACAAAAAAAAAAACAGTTCCTAGGTCAAGCTTGGTGGCACACACCTTTAATTGCAGCTCTCAGGTGGGTGGCAGAAGCAGGCGGATCTCTATGAATCCCAAATCAGCTTGGTTTCCATAGAGTTCCAGGCCAGCCAGAGCTACTGAGAGACCTTGTCTCAAAAGAGAAAACAACAGCAAGACATGATTCCTCCATGACTGATCAGAACAATGAGAAAAGTTACTAGGCGTAGCAAAAGCATCTCAACAGACTAAACAGAAACGCGTCAACAGATGTATTAAACACCGGAGGTGTCGCAGCTCTACCTTAAACTATGAAGTGACTCAGCAAATGAATGAGTTCAGAGCCTTAAGGAGTTTTCAGGAGTCTCACTGACCTCCAGATAGATCTCTAAGAGGGGCTCAGGGAGCTTAGTCATGTCAGCGGTGCCGTCCATCCTGCTCGACTGCTTCCTGGCGCCTCGGACACTGAGGCCGGATATTTCGTGCGTCCTTGAGCACCTGTCAGGAGGGCATTGTTGCCTTGAAGGCTTGTCTGGTTTCTAACCTCGTCATGTCTCCCTGCTCCAAAGTGAAACTTTCCAAGCAGAATGATAAATAAGCAGTTTCAAAATACTTTCCCAATCCATTTGACCTTCCTAATTCATTTTTCATATGTCGTCTGAGCATCTTGGCTGATAGGAAGTAATTCATATTTCTCTAGGTCCAGATTGTAGCTGTATAATACATAAAAATGTTCTGTCAGTGAATTCATGTGATTATTGAAAGTTCACAGTAAAAAGAGAGAGAAAGCAGCTAAGTTACAGTGTGTTCTCTGCTTGGAATATGCATTCAGTAAAAACCAGGTCTCCGTGATAACATGAACCTTGCCATGGGAATGTTAAGCCAAAAGGTAACTTGGGATGAGCCCAATTTATTTGTTTATTCATTTAAGATTTAGTCAATGTATGTGTATGGGTGTTTTCCTATATGTATGTTTGTGTGTGTACCACTAGTATGCCTGGTACCCGAGGGCCAGAAGGAGGGCATCAGATCCCCTGGAAATGGAACTGTAGGTGCTTGGGAACCATCATGCTTTGCTAGGAATGGAACCTGGGTCCTTTGGAAAAGCAGTCAGTGCTCTTAACTGCTGAGCCATCTCTTCAGCCCCTAGCCCAAATTAAAAAAACAAAAAAACTTACCTATGCCAGAAAATTTGTTTTAAAAATTGACTTATTCAAGTGTTTGCATCATGCATGATTTCTTCCTAGCCTCAGTGATATGAATTTGATCCACTTTTTTTTAATTCTCAAAATAAACTGAGCAGTTGTTGTGTGGACTTTTCCTGGGACAAAAGAGAAACATTAATCACTCCAGCTCCAACAGCAGGCCAAAAGGCAAGTGTGCCACATCGAGCCTGGGCAGCTCAGAAGTGGCTGCAACACCTCTCAAAGTCTCGTCCCTCAGCAGCCTGGGGGAAGGGAGGCCCCTCGATAGATAGTCTGCCAATGGGTCCGGGTTGTGCGTGTGATCACTGCAGCTGACTGACTTCATGGAGACAGAACTCCCAAATAGTAGCCTTTGGAATCAGTTGTATAATGTTGATAGTGGTGAACCCACACACACCAGTTACCCATCGGCTGGAATGTGGAGGCCCAAGAACTTACCCAGAAAGATCACTGATTCTCAAGGTTTACCAAGCACACTCCTGATGGGACCCCTGGCCTTGCAGGCCATGCAGAAGAACAGAGCTGTTGCTGTCTGTGAGAGGGTAACTTGCCTGTTGCCCCGTTCACAGATCGCCAATGGCACAAAGCAACCATGGGGAAGTCACATGTCCCCGGCGAAAGGGGATCACCACATTGTGTGATCTCTTTATACTGAGTATTGGTATATTTTTTTAGCCCGTGTATTTTATGTTGAGTGACAGGAGGGGGACATGCATGTCACAGCACACATGCGGAAATCAGAGGACGATTACTACCTGGTCTCAATATATACTCTGAGCTGAGCATAGTGGCACATGCTAGGACTTAGGATCCACAAGATGGTGGATCTCTGAGTTGGAGGCCAACCTACATCGGAGTTCCAGGCTAGCCAGCACCACCCAATTGAAACCCTGCCTCAAAAACCAACCCACACACATACTCAGCGTGATACCAACACAGCCATTGTCAAGTGCTGCAATAGAGTAGTCATCTCCAGGAAAATCACCTGTGTGCTGTGGCATTGTGAAGCCACTGTCTTTTTAATGCATCATCTGTACTTGAGAGAATGACTCACAGACCATGATATAGCAGAAGGAAGTGTTCCTTACGAAGGAATGGTAAGACTCTAGAAGCTAAAATTAGACTTTGGAAAACAAGTATCCTCCCGTTCGTGAGCCCCAGCTTCCTGGTGTTTGTCTTGTGCAGTTGACCACGGCTGTGGTGAATGCCCCAGCACAGTAGCTGTGGCCTCTAGAAGACATCGTTGGGCAGCACTTGGGTTTCTCTGCTTGGCCCACTGAGAGCTACCGTGCCTCAAGTTCTTACCTGTTTCTTGTTTACTGTCTCCAATAGAGTAAGAGCTCCAGGGAGATGCAGGGGTGGTGGTGGGGGGTCTGTTGAGATTAGTGGTAATGCTAACATGATTTTAATGCTGGATGATAAAATATACCAGCACTGAAAGGGCTACATAGCTCAGTGAGCTACACACACACACACACACACACACACACACACACACACACACACTTTGAAAATGTTACAGATGCATTTTAAAGGGCATAATAAACCCTTGAAGTTTCACGATACAAGCCGAATGTTTGTTGGTGCAGTTTTAAGATTCCACACTGCAACTGACCTGTAAGAAACTGTTGTGTGTTAGGTTTTGATAAGGCCATTTTTCATAGACTCAACCAGAACTGCTTGCCCTTAGCTGTTGTGTAGGCTTTGTAGCAAAGACAGACACCGCTGCTCTTCTCACTAGATGTTGGGTTTGATAAAGCTATTTCTGTAACAATTATGCCTGTTCCTATCTGTGTGCTTATCAATTGTCACA